GCTGGACATGTCCGGTTTTTTGGGATTTCCCCCCGGACGGGGATTTGAGTCCCAAAAAGCCGGACATGTCCGGCAAAATCCGGACGTATGGTAACCCTAGTTGAGAAGGATGAGTGGGGAAAGCAAGAAAGACCATGTGAGGAATATATATGTGAGAGACATGCTCAAAGTAATATCCATAAATGAAAAAATGAGAGGGCTGCAGGCTCAGTAGGTTTGGTCATGCAAAGTGCAGCAGTGACAACTACATAGGTGAGAGACTCCAAAAGATCAAGACTGAAAGAAAAAGACAGAGGCCTACCCAAGAAGAAGTGGTGGCTGTCATAAAGGAAGTCTGGATACCATGCAGTAAGATACAGGATATGGCACTGAACAGAGCACTTCAGAGGGAGAGGACTCATAAAGTAGACCCCATTTGATGGGATTAATGCAAGGAAGAAGTCTTAGTGATGTCCAGCCTAAAGCCACTTTACCACAGGTCAATGGGAAAGTTCATTTAAAAGAGGAATACAATATACCAAAGCTCCCAAGACATGATGCTCCCATCAGGGCCGGCTCTGGCTTTTTGGCCGCCCCAAGCAAGCAAAAAAAACCAACCAAACAAAAAAAACCAACCAATCAAAAAAAACCCGGGGCGCGGCCGGAGCGCAGGGGCGGGGGGGCCGGCGGGGGGAGGGGGGGGGGAGAGGGGGGCGGCTAGGGCTACAGCGGGGGCGCTGCCACGCAGCCCCTCCCGCTGCGCTGCCACCTGCCGCGAGGGCTCCGCTCCGGTCGGCGGGAAGGGAAGGAAGAGGACTGCCCTGCAGGGCGCTCTGGTTCTCCACGCCGCCGCCCCCTACAGGGTGGCCGGAGCGGAACAAAAAAAAAAGCGGCCGTGCCGCCCTAGGATTGGGCGGAATGCCGCCTCGAACAATCTGCCACCCCAAGCACCAGCTTGCTCAGTTGGTGCCTGGAGCCGGCCCTGGCTCCCATTTTTCTATTTTCACCCCAAGCGCAATCCAGAAGACAGATGTGTGACTAGGCCAGTCTTCTCCCCAGCTTGTTTAGGATCCACTGCCATACTCAGTCTCTTTTGAGACAGTTTTATTGACCAAACTTAAACAAATCAAGCAAGCCCAATTCCTCAATTCACCCTGGGCTACAATCCCCAGGGGACTTTTCCCCTTTACTACTCAGGCTTTCACTGTCTCTCCTCCCAGGGGACTCTGGCAGTCCTGCTGCTTCCTGCAGCTTTTTTAGCTCTGACTTACCTAGTGTCGCTCTGTCTCAGGCCCAAGTGGCTGCTTTTAAAGCCTAATATGGGCCACTTGATGCAGCACAGATGCACTGGTTTTAAAAGGGCTAGCGCCATACTGTTTGTACATGTACATCAACAGGACTAAGCTATTTTTATTCTGGTGAATACATCCTAGTTGCAGGGGTCAGAAAGCTCACAAGAATGCTATATCCGCCTGGATATGCATAACTGAATTACACACAGGAAGGAGATTTAAATCCCCCAGAGGAACTGCAGGCACATGCTGCTGGATAAAACTGTCACTTCGTGGGACAAAATAGCCTCATAATTAGCAAAGGAAATTTGTGAAGCAGCCAGATAGTTCAACACACTTATCTTCACCAGACATTGAAAACTAGATTCTTATCAACTGGTGCAGCAGTGAACAGGAACATTCTGTGGTAACCCACTAAGCTGCACGCCGCTACACTGAATTTCTATTATCCTTTCCCTGTTTATCTTGATATTTTATTTGGTTACATCCTGTTCAGCCTTTGAACACACACACTTAACTTCCATTGGCATCAATGGGGCAGGGCAGGGGGCATCTGCACATCTGAGGGTGGAATTTACCTGTAAGGCTTCTCCCAAACTATGGACCAGATTCTCAGCTGGTGTGAATTGTAACTGTGTGCACTTCAGTGGCATTACAGCAGTTTGCACCAGCGGAGGATCTGCCCCATTTTCCAATGTTCCATTTTCATACTTTATAAACAGAGAACACACATTTCTTTTTTTAAAGACCACACTTCTTCTAAATCCAGTGTTAGCAGCTTTTGGAGAAATGGAGAGGTCAGGGCTGGTAACTCCAGACAATGCTTGAGGTTAATCCATTATTTTCTTGCCTAGTGGATTCAGGAAGTGTATATTCTACCACTTTGTGTAATTGACTGTGAATGCGGTGGCCTAAGAACTGAGGCCTCCCAGGGTCACCAATTAGCACTTTAGTTCCATGAGTCCTGATGCATTTCCTCAACCAGTGATGAAGACTGTTTGCAAGTTGTTCATCATAAAACATATCCCCCAAAACAATGAGGTCCCAGTTGTCCAGCTCTGTATCAATGATGTTCTTAGTTAGAATAGGAAAGGGGTTCACATTGTTCAGCTCGCAATTTAATACCATGGCCATTCCTGCAACTGAGAACAAGCACAAAGTACATGAAAAGGGATTTAGAATTCTATACTTAAATGCCAGCTGTAGTGGTAAACTCTTCTAATATTTTCACAAATTCTTTGTTTGGATAATCTCTTAAATATCAGTGTTATTCTATTAGGTATCTATATAGTCTTCATTAAGGTAGTAATTTAGTACCTCCCAATCACTGATGGATTTGATTCTCATACCATCCCTGTTAGGTATTATCCCCATTTTACAGATTGGAACTGAGGCACAGTGCAGATGAAGTGACTTGCCCAAAGTCACACAGGAAATCTATGGCAGAGCCAAGAATTGAACCCACTACTGCAAATCCCAGTTCAGTGCCTTTTTCACTAGACAATACTTCCTCCCCAGTCAACAAAGAATGTTAAGTAAATTAATAAGAATAAATCAAATGTAAAGGGTGCTAAGGGGAAAACAAGTAAAAATAACATGTAAATTGCTGTTAGCCACATAATCAGAAAATAATTATTAAAACATGTAAACAAGGGACAAATCATTCTTGGTGTAACTTCCCAGAAGTCAGAGTTACCCCAGGGATGGAGACGATATCAGTGTGGTTTATTCAAAAATAAAATCCATAAAATAAAGCTCATTAGTCTCCTTCCCTAAGTAAGACAACTAAAACCACAGGCCAGTTGTCAAAATTGTGGGTGTGCAACCCCTTAGAAAATCAGGTCACTCACTTAAGTGCTGAAATATGGATAAAGTGCATAAAAGTTAGGAATCAGGAACTAAATGCTCAAAGGTAACAGGGCCTAATTTCAGAGGATGTGTACTCAGATCAGTCCTTTAAGGTGTCTCAAATTGGGCACCCCAAAACTGAGACACTCAAAATCAATCACTTTGAAAATAAATCAAGCCTTAAAGTATAAAAATGTAGTTCTACATTTCCTATGTAAAAAGTGTTATTTTTTAAATTCCTCTAGAAGTTGTGTGTGTTTGGGGGAAGAGGGGTATGTGTGTGTAATCTTGCTTTAACTTTAATTTCTTGATGATTGAACTTTCTTTTGTTACCAGTCCAAAGCAGTGTAATCTAGCAGACTGAAGAGTGTGGGGAACGCTTTAGTAGTCATAATCAACAGTCATCTTTCAAATATTAACTTGGATTATTTGCACATACTTTAGAAATCGAGTCTGGGTTTCTTTGACCTAAGTATGAAGAACAAATTGTTAAGGACGAGACTTATCGCATCCTAGAGGTGATAAGCTGTTTCAAAACAGATACAGAAAATATTTGATTAAGATAGTATAGAGATAAATACCGAATAGACTGTGTTTTCAATAGAAATTGGAGAGAATAGATCTATTTCTTTACCAAAATGTATCAACAAAGAAAGGTTCATAAATGCAAGTTAACCTGTTGACTGACCACCTAGGTGAAGTCATTTAGCCGCTAATCAATGGTGTATACTGAGTGTTACACAATATTGAGTTCAGATACAGGACTGCTGCTACATGGAAGGTGTGGTTAAAAAGCTGCATACACAAGTTACCAAGGGAACGCAGACATTTAGGCAAGATCGCCAGAAAATAGAAGCAGAGACGTGCCAAGGTATACGAGGCAGGCAGGGAGGATTTTTGGCATCTTTATAAAAGAAATCACCATCCAAGTATCTGTCAGTTTGAAGGTGACTGTGAGATATCTGAAAAAATATATTCAGTCTGACGTTTTTATTGTTACAAGAGGCCTTGAGCAAATTCACAGAGCCGGTTTTGCATCAAGTTGTAATGCTGCAGAAGACATTAAAGGCATCACCAGTTTTGACGTGATCCAGGCTGTTAATTACTTATACTTGTTATCCCATGACAGATGGTTGGTAGCACGGTCCATTGTGAAAAAATGCGTGTGTAAAATTACTGTGCACTTTTGGCCAGAGAACTCCAAGAGCTTTACAAACATTAAGCCTCATGGCACCACTCTGATAAATATTATCTCCATTTTTACATCCGGGGAAACTGAGACACAGTAGTTAAGTGACTTGCCCAAGGTCAATACGCAAGTCATGCTACTGCTGGAAATGGAACCAAGTTCTCCTACCAATCCTATGATCTATCACTACACAGGCTTCCACTGCAGTCCAGTTCCTAGTGACTTGGTGCCCACAACACAAAAAGCACCACTAAAATTGGCAGGCTTGGCAAAGAGGTCAAGGCCTGATTCAGCATAGAGACTAAACGACCCACTTCCCCTGGAGAGTCTTCCAAAACAGGAAGACATCTTGCTAGGGACAGTACATTAGGAAATGTTCTCTCCCATTCATTTCAATGGGCATGATCACAGAGTGAGGTACTACTTAGGCCATGTCTACACTACCACTTATGTCGGCAAAACTTATGTCGCTCAGGAGTGTGAATATTCCACCCCCTTGAATGACATAAATTATGCTGGCATGAGTGGTCGTGTGCACAGCGCTCGGTCGGCGGGAGACGCTATCACCGCTCATTGGAGGTGATTTAATGATGCTGAGGGAAGAGCTCTCAGCATAGAGCTCTACATGAGAGATCTTACGGTGGCACAGCTGCATCGGTACAGCTGTGCCGCTGTAAGCTCTGTAGTGTAGACATGGCCTTAGTCACATGAGTAAGAAAGACAGAATCTAGTCCTTAATTTTTGCCAAAGGTGCTAGACTGATAGTCAGGGCCTTTCCTATGTGGGTGCGGGGCCCGGGGCGGAAGTGACATCACTTTCGGGACCGACCGCACTGAGGGCAGGTAGGGGAGGCTGAGGGAGGTGGTGCCTCCCCAAACAGCAAGGCGTGGCCCCCCCTGCACTCCATCCCCCCAGGGCCCCACCTTCCCGGGGCTGGGGAGGCTGTGGCACCACCACGCGCTCTCCCCCTCCCGGCGCGCTCTCACTCGGGTGGAAGGGGCGGGGCTGGGGGAGGCAGTTCATCTGCCGCCTATGTGGCGACAGCCAATCACACCAACCCGCGGGGCCCCCCAAAGCGTGGGGCCCGGAGCAGTCGCCCCCATTCGCCGTCCCCTAGGGACAGCTCTGCTGATAGTACTGTTAACTGAAGCACTGGGCAGGACCTGTGTAACTTTTTTGCTTCCTTCTAATTTTATTTGAAACCATGAATTTCTCCAAACAACTGAAAGAAATGCGACTCCTCAAATGTGCTTGAAAAATGGCCTTTTGCAGGGCTTGGAAAGAAGTGTCTTACTGGGGTCGATGTCATTAGCATGGACCTGGGATGCACCGCTCATCACAGCAGCGATTGCTGTTGCTCCACATCCACTTCCGAGATCTAGTACTGATCCCATTCTGACAGCATCCGGGTTATCTAAGATATACCTGAGTATAAAATGAAAACTGTGTGAGAGTCCACTTCATAGATGTAATGATACATGACATTAATTCAGAAGATATTCCATGTATACCCTTGCACACAGTCTCTCATGCAAACCAGCATGTCTGTGCTAATACCAAAAACCACCAGAGGGTGCACGCAGTCAGATAATAGCAACAAGCTACATCCTTCGTTTCAATCAATCAGATCATTCTCTCAGTTTAAAACATGGAATGAATGGGTTAAAACTGGATGGTGGCTAGGAAGTTTGACACTAAAAGCAGGAAATGGAACAACCGTAGCTGATAGTAGTGAAATTACAGTTACAACGATCAGTACAAATATGAACGTTTTAACAGCAATGTCTGGATAGTTTGATGCAGCACTCAACCTCTGAGAGATGCAAGTTCTATAACTGCAAAGCAACTCGCTCACTCAAGTCTTGCCACATGATTTATCTGACAACTTGCAACAAGAGCTCCTTTTCTGGTTTTTAAGAGCCACATGCTCATATTCCACTGAAATACTACACAGGAGTGACTGGAAAAATAAGACTGACTAACAATGAATGTGAGATTATGCTAGGCACCATGACAGCCAGAACCATCCTGCTGTGAAGAATCAGCAAACAAAGAAATACCTCTAACCTAGAACTGAGGAGGAAAAGCCTAAAGACTATATAAGAGCCAGGTATTATTATTAAATACAGTGCATAATTTTCTCCCCTATGTGGGGGGGTGGGATGAAAGTTGTCCTAGTTTCATAGGATCTATGACAATATACACCAGGTGAGAATCTTCCCCATAGGTTTCTTCACACTAATCTGCCATGGGGATGGGGTTTACCAACCATCCTTCCCTTATTCCATACAATGGGCAGGCAGCATGACCCTCCTAATGTGCAGATGTTCTGAGATCCACAGGGATATTCTGTAGATCAGAGGGCACCAACAAAAAGGGCAATGGAATTTATATTATAGTGGCCCAGTAGCACTATTGCCTACAGGAGCGGTGCCAGGGTTTTTGCCGCCCTAGGTGGCAGCGCTCCTCCTCTGAGCATTCAGGGGGCCTGGGGTCTTCGGCGGCGGGGGTCCTTCCGCTCCGCGTCTTTGGGGCACTTCAGCGGTGGGTCCCGGAGTGAGTGAAGGATCTGCTGCCGAATTTCTGCCGAAGATCCGGAGTGGAAGGACCCCCCCGATGCCGAATTTCCACCAAGGGCGGCAAAATGCCGCCCCTCCCCCCCAAATCCTGCCACCCTAGGCAACTACCTAGGGTCGCCTAGTGGACGCGCTGGCCCTGATTGCCTGGCACCCCAGGCCGGATTAATCCATAGGCTAAGAAGGCTATAGCCTTAGGCCCTACTTTAGGCCCTAATTTTTAGGCCCTCCATTCCATATTGAAGTAACAGCTGAGCGACGGTAGCGGGGCCATCAGAAATTTTTTCTCATTCGATATTGCTCTGTACAAATTGATCTATCAAGATTGTGAATTCAATTTATGGTGGTTGTGATTTTGTCTTTGTGGGCTAAGTAATTGTTTGTGGGCCCAAGCAATATTGAACTTTGTACACAGTAGGCCTACACTGGACAATAGAAACCATGCCGAAGAAAGGAGGATGGCAGAAATTGAAGAAGGGCAAAGAAAGACGGCAAAGACAAGATGTAGTACTGAAAGGTATTCCTTCACTACTACTGTTTTTTCCTCCTACTAAGTCTGGTGGTGAGGAAGTCCAGGCGATTACCAGTCCAAGTGAACCTGCTGGGCCTGCGCTTGATGAAAAGGAGCAGCCTCCTGTGACTTCTCTAGCTGCAGTCTCACCCCACTCCTCTCAAGACTTTCCCAGTGATAGTAATACAAAAATAACAGGAGTACTTGTGGCAGCTTAGAGACTAACAAATTTATTTGAGCATAAGCTTTCGTGGCTACAAATATGCTTAAATAAATGTTAGTCTCTAAGGTGCCACAAGTACTCCAGTTCTTTTTGTGGATACAGACTAACACGGCAGGTACTCTGAAACCTAATACAAAAATATCCTTCTCCAACCATCCAGGTGCGTGGGACATGACTTCTCAAGATCTCATTGCATATTGGACTGAGAAGGGCTCACAGACATGCCAGAATCTAGATACTGACTTGTCACTGACAACGATTCTCATTGGTGTACTCTCAGTTTATCTGACCAAATCAACGTTTGAATATGTGAAGCCTAACGAACAGATTGGCGAGCGACAATGGCTCATCTATTCGCCTTCTAAGAAGAAAGTGTAATGTTTTTATTGCCACCTGTTTTCTGACACCAAAAGGTGGGGAATGTTCTGCAAAGGCTTCAGTGGTTGGAAGAATACTGCATACATTACCAATCATGCAATGAGTGAGCAGCATACATTGTCAGCAGCTACCGTGCCCGAAAGAAAGTTAGTGGCAGAATTGATACCCAAATGGAAAACCAGTTTTTGGAAGCTCATGCTTATTGGAAGAACATTCTCAGATGCATAATTGAAACCTAGTTTTTCTTGCTGAGAGTGGTCTGCCATTCCATGGCTCAGATGAGACTGCTGGATTGAAACACAATGGCAATTACCTTGGTGTTCTAGAGCTAATTGCTAAGTTCAACCCTTTCTTAGTTCAGCACATCAATGAAAACGCAAATTGTGGAAAAGACCCTGCATCATATCTATCAAAGACTTTGTGATGAATTCATAGCACTGCTGGCAAAGAAGATTCTATCAGCTATTGTAGATGAGATCAAAGATGTGGGATATTTTTCAGTGTCTGTCAACTCAACACCAGATATGTCACATGTAGATCACCTGACTGTCATCTTGCGTTATGTGCTACCCAGCGGACCAGTTGAGCTTTTCATGACCTTCGTAAACATCACCAGCCACACAGGGGAGAAACTTGCTCATACCTAGTCAATTTCCTCACTGAAAATGGGATTGACATCAGCATTTGTCGTGGCCAAAGCTATGACAATGCAAGTAATATAAGTGGCAAATATTTAGGGATGCAGGCAAAGATAAAAGAGCACAATGCTTTTGTTGATTACATACCATGTGCTGCTCACCAACTCAGCCTTGTTGGCCAGTCTGCCATGGATTGTTGTGTTGAAGTAGTTTCTTTTTTGGATTTGTCCAAGAATTGTACAATTTTTTTCTCTGCATCAACCAGTCGTTGGATGATTCGTAGAGATTCACTACCAAAGGGATGCCCAGTGTCCAAATCACGCTCAGGGACACGGTGGAGTGCCAACGCTGAAGCTGTGAATGCAGTTGTTTTGGGAAACCCTAACATCCTTGAAGTGCTAGAGAGCGTCAAGGATGATGAATCTCAAAAATCAGCAACAAGAAAAGATGCAAACATCCTGAGTGATGCAGTGCTCACTTTGGAAACTAGTATTTTGCGTGAGGTCTGGAATGATATACTTCAGCCATTCAGCAGGTGCAGTCTAAGCTTGCAAAGTGCTCAAATTGACCTTTCCACTTCTGTAAGCCTAATGAGGAATCTTGGAACTGTTCTTCAACAAATGCGGGATAGTTTTAATGAGTATGAAATTTAGGGGGCTGCAAGGACTGCTAACCATGAGTATAATTCAGCCAAATGCCGCAAAAGACAGAAGACATACGACGATGCAACTGCCCACTCATTCAGCGACAAGGAGGCCTTCAGAGCCAATACCTTCATCACAATCATCGACAAACTGAAGAGTGCACTAGAACATCAGCTCGAGGTTTACGAAAATATTGACAAAAACTTTAGTGTACTGACAATTTTTTTTGCCTAACATTTCAAGTTCCGAAGTCAGTGAAGGTATCAAACGTCTGTGTCAAAAGTACCCAGACGATCTCCCCGTAGATTTTACTAAAGAATTTCTTCAATTTGTTGAATTTGCATCACTCTCAGATATAGAGAGAAAAGATGATGAAAGCAAGTCTATTTGGATGTACCGAGTTGTCACTGAATCCAATATGATAGAATGTTTCCTAAATGTTGAAAATGCATTACGGCTATATGTGTCACTAATGATCACTAACTGTAGTGAAGAATGTTCCTTCTGTCTTCTAACCAGGGTCAAAAATGTCCTCCGATCCACCATGACTCAAGAGCATCTCAGTGCTTTGTCCCTCTTGAACACTGAGACTGAAATCGTCAGGTCTTTGAATTACGATGACATCATTCATGACTTTGCCACAGCTAAAGCTGGGGGGGGGGGATTGTTTGTTTGAAGAATTGAGTGTCGTGAGAGTAGAATAAACTTGTTAATTTTACATAAATAAATAATATGTAAATACATATGTAGATAAATGTTTGCTGACTTCATAATTGTTTTTGCAATATGCAATTCATACTTAGGCTAATAGGAGGGAAGCCCCTCCTAACCTTAATCCAGCCCTGCTGGCACCCTTTCCCCTATGGCAGCCTTGCTCTCTCTGATGAACCCATAACTTATATATGGAAGGGCTTCATAGAAAAGGAGGAGCATACAGCAGAACCCTGCTTGGCTCTGAAGTAATGCAAGTAGAGAGGGTGATTGTGCCCAGAATATTTTTAAGTACCTTGATTCCAACTCAGTGTTTCTCAGATTGGCTGTAATATTGATGTTCGCTTCAGAAGTTCAGAAAACAGTTGGGGCCTAAATGCTAGCCCAGCATGGAAATAGATTGCCTTAGTGCTGGAGACAGTTGTCTGCAAGGCTAGGTTAATAAGGTATCTCAGGTTACATTACGAAGGGTACTCTGAAACTTTGTCATAAAAGAGCTTAGATGTTGTGGAAAACAGTAATTGTGGAAAGAGCATTTTTTTCCCGTATGCACCATCCATTTTTCACTTTTTCAGATTATGCAATTAATTACTGAAGTTCTCAAGTCAGCAAAACAGCAAATAGTTGTTAAATCAGCTGGTGAAATGCCAGAGAATTAACTAATGTTGCTAACCGAATGGTTAGTTGGAAAAGGCACCATTTGATAACAAAACATGGAGATGAGATTAACTACAGTACCTAATTGACTTACTGTTCTTAGCAGCACTTTAATTGTGTTGAATGTCAGTTTAATCAATCTCATAATTTAGCTGTGAGACTCTGATTTTTCCAACTTAAAAAAGCCTCTGATTTTTGCTTTCTTGCAGACAAAAATAAATAAAATGATAAAAATTTAAAATATTAAAACCCCAAGCCAACCCCAAATCAAACCTTTCCCTTTTAACTCAATGGGAGATGGCTGAAGGTTGGCTGTTTGCAGTAATGACTCATGACTTTTTATGCTATTAGGTATGAGAAGATACTTCTGGGTGATGTAAGAACATCAACAGCCCCGGGAATCAGAGACAGCATCTGCATTTTGACAGCATACTGTCAGAAACAAAATATGGCACAGTTTGTAAACGAGTGCAACACTGTCAGATAAATATAAAAGAATCCTGTCTATGTACATCTCCACCCCCTTTTTTAGGATTTTAGAACCAATCTGGATATAGGTTAGGCCTTGTCTACACAAAAGGTTGCACCAGCAGAATTCTACCTTTTTCAGTGGACACCGATGTGCATCCATGAGTATGTTTGTCTCCTCCTGGAATAACCCTGAGTTACTGTGAACTAAGTATTTCCCTCTTGAAGTGACACTAAATGATGTGATTAAATACCCTGCAATATTTTTGTGGAAAATGCAAAACTTTCCCACGCATCCAAATTCAGCCCTGGTGTAAACACACTCTACTCCATTGAAGTCAACAGATTTAACAGCCAACAGTTATTCTACATACAGCAGCTGCATAGACTTCATAGTCATTAGCAGAGATAGTACTTGGGACCTTCTATTCCAAAACCATAGGCTTCTATCACTTGAGCTAAAGGAGAATCTGTGTTCGATGTAGTTGTACTAGGGCTTATATACTGCTTTGGCTGCAGCCACTAAAGAGCAGTCCTATCACAAGCAAATCTGGTATTCTATGCAGGTGGGGGTGATAGTACATATTTACTCTAGTGATCACTGTGCACTGTACCTGGACAGGGCTTGGCCTCCTGGCCAGTAGATTGCCCAGAAGGGGTCGCCATAGGGCCACAAGTCAGCTCTTTCCTGCCAGAATCTGCAGCGAGGTGTCAGAAGTCGCAGTCGTATCTCTGGTGTGAGGTGCCCGCTGCTACTGACTTCAGTGTTCTCCTCCAGAAACGCTCTCATTTCAGGATCCAGGAAGCTTCCTGGAGTCCTGTGATAGCAGCATCTCCATATCAAAGAGGTGCTTCTGTTACTGCTCCTTGAAGCTTTTGTGAGGACATCCCTACTGCCAAAGCCTATAAACAACTTCAAGTGGCAGAACACCATGCCTCCCCTTTGGTAAAATCCTTCCTGATCTGAATTCAAACCAGCTGCACAGCGAAGGTTTATCTTGTGTGTGGGGAGACGTGTTTGAAACCAACTCAGAAGCGGTTTCGTTTTGTAGCAATGGATGGCAATTCCTGAAAGCAAGAGCAACATATTAATGATAAAATATCTAGTTCAGGGTTAACAACCATCAATGCTGTAAGAGAAGGCAGCTGGATGGGAGTTGCTGTATGTTGATGAAAGGTCTCAAGTTTGTCAGGCTCATATTTCCACAGGTCTACAATGTAGTTCCAGAAAAGGCAAATCCTACACTGGGATGGAGAAACTTGGAGGATAGTGAGGTGGGGAAGGGGTGGTTTTTTTGGTTGGGAAGCAACAGTTCATGTGACAGCTCATTACTCTAGTTCTGTTATGGCAGGAGGAGATAAAGTCACCCAATGGGCCAAACCATGGCTCCACTAAAGTCCATGGCAAAACTCTTATTGACTTCAGTGGGACTAAGTTGTGGCCCTAAGGAAACATAAACACGCACTGTGCATAAATTACACCACATACTGTTACTGCTGGGCTTGCCGTTTAGATGGATTTGATTTCTAATTTCAACTTTAGACCTTGGATGGCAACTGGTACAGGCATGTGAGTTGTGTGTCTAAATCTAAGGCCAGGTCTATGCTACAAACTTTTACTGGCATAGCTACATCAGGCAGGGGTGTGACAGTATAATCTCTGACCGACACAGCCGTGCCAGCAAAAGTGTAGCTGCAGTTATACCAATAAAACTGTGGTTTTGCCAGCATAGCTTATTTTACTTGGAGGGTGCAAGTGGGGGGAGCTGTGTCCAGTATAGTATGCTAGAGTAGCTATACTTGCCGTGTGCTCTTAGCATAGACCTGGTCTAAGGCTCGGCTACTAATCTCACATTCTGCAGCAGGTATTTCCATTGGGAAGGAGAGAAGCAAAGAGGAAGCGGAGGATGACACAGAGGGTGAACATTAAATGGCACCTTTGCCTGAAAAGGTTTGGGGAAGGGTATTACTTTTAATTGTGCTCTACAGTGCCTTTGGATACTTAAAATAAAATCCAGGACAGTGGTGGTCGTCTTCAAGGGAATGAGCCATTAAAGTCAACAAGTCAGGGAACTGCATATGGGGAAGTGTCTCAAACACTTCCAAGGACATACAATGCCAGTAGTTGAATTGACAGATTTGAAGATTAAATGCACACATTTTTTAGCGTCTGCCTCCCTGCTCCCCACAGATAAACACAACAGCAGGATGTTCACACTTTCCAATGAATGTTTAATCTAAGCAATTATGCACAGGCATAGCAGAGAGCCCACGTTGTTGTTATATGTGGCGTGAACTTTAAAGTGGCTATAGAAATGCTAATTAAAGGTCCAATGGCTGCTTTGAATTTCTTTAAGATATTTATAGTGCAGTACTTAACTAATCTACTCTCCGGGGTGAGTAAGAAGTATTCCCTGGCAAGTGGGGGGGGGGCATTAAACCATCAATTTCTGGGGACTTTAAGCTTTCACTAAAACAAGAGCAGCTTCCAACCCGTAGGGTTGTGGAGATAACCATATGTGAGCTGAATGTAAACCACTGTAGTGTGGTCTGCAAAGGGAGGGCTTCAGCACCTGTGCGGAGACTCATAGCTTTGCCAAGCAGTAGCAGAGTGCAATTAACAACACTGGGCAGCTTCATTGCTGCCAATCAAAACACTGTGGGCAGCAACAAAACTGTCATGACTCCAGTCAATTTCACACTGCTCCTGGGGGGGGACAGATATGAGCTACTCATTGGGAGGCGGACCCTAACAAAGAGGCTGTGGCCCCAATTCATTGATGCCCCACAACCACCTTACACCATCTCTGCCAGCAAAAAGTGGCCAAAAAGCTGCCTTACTGTCCCCTATGGAATTTCCCCAATGTAGAGGAAGTCCCTGGCAGGCATGGAATAGGCATTAATTGACCCAAAATGTACACGTAGGGCAGGATTATGCATTTTTTGTGCACCCAGAACACTAACTGAGCCAAGGGGTGCCACTGGAGTGCAGGACTGGGCCCCTAGTGCATCCTAAGGCATGCCTTAAGCTTTTTTAACCTCTGGTCAAAATCAAATCCGGACACTAACGAGCAATGACTAAGCTGTTATCACTTAGCTCACACCTCTGCTGAAAATTTTTGCTGCCTTTGAAGTTGATGGAAATATAAAGTCTCTCTTTCCTCTAATTTTTTTCATTCAAGAAGAGCTCTATTATTGAATCTCCTGTAGATTTTGATGTAAATGTTGCTTAAAATCCTGCACTGAGTGGGCTGTCAAACTGTGGGAACAATCTGAATGAGCGAGACATTTAAAATCTCTTCGTTTTAAAACTATCAGTGTAACACAGGCCAAAAGTTTAATCATTAAAGCAGTGGTTCTCAAACTTTTGTACTGGTGACCCCTTTCACATAGCAAGCCTCTGAGTGCAACCCCCGTCATAAATTAAAAAACACTTTTTTGTATATTTAACACTATTATAAATGCTGGAGGCAAAGCGGGGCTTGGGGTGGAGGCTGACAGCGCGCAACCCCACATATAATAACCTCGCGACTCCCTGAGGGGTCCCGACCCCCAGTTTGAGAACCCCTGCATTAAAGGCACATTGTTAACTTAAAAATCACACTCCTAAAATATGTTATACACACAGTATTGCAAGTTACAGCTAATATTATTACAAGTGGGATGACCTGGGTAACTATAGGCCAGTGTAAAGGAAAATTAAGTAGGCCTAAACACAATTGCAACGGCCAATCTTGCTTAATGTAACTAACAATCTAATGTGTTAGGAAAGCCATTAACCGCAAAAGAACAACCTATGAATAACAGGAAAAGCTTGTTTTGCTGTATTTCTAACAAGGGAAAATATTAATAAGGAAGTATGTGTAACTAAATGTGGTTTTGCTCTATATAAGCTTCTGTGTTCCCTTTTTTGGGAGAGCAGCCAGACTGGAATTAAATATAAAATCACTGCTGATAAAATTTGCAGATGACACAAAAATTAGTGGAGTGCTAAATGATGACAACAGGACAATTATACAGAGCCATCTGGATCACTTGATAACCTGGGCCCATTCAAACAAAATATGCTTTAATACAGTCAAATGCAAAGTTATATATCTAGGAACAAGGAATGCAGGTGATGCTACAGAATGGGGGACCTTGTCCTGGAAAGCAGTAACGCTGAAAAGGATTATTATGGGATAGTAGTGGACAAGCCACCGAACATGAATGAGAAGCTATGGCAAAAATAGCTAATTCACTCCTCGGATGTATACATAGGGGAGTACCAGCATTGCCAACCCCAAATGGTCCAATATCATAAGTCAGGCTCACCAAAAATCATGTGATTGGCTTTAAAATAATGAGATTATGTAACAATAATAGATTTGATGTTCTTTTTATTTGCCTTCTGTTTTTTGAGCCTTTAGGATGCAGTGCACTGAGGTCACATTTTGAAGCTTTCTCCATAGCCACGAGGGCTAGAAACGTCCTTTTTCTTTAAGAATGAAGGCTGAAATCATCATATATCCACTTGAACCCAGGAGCTGGGGCTTTAAGAAAAACAATTACTATCATGAGACCCATGACAAAATCATGGGAGTTGGCAACACTGACCAGTACTGAGATCTAGGGAGGTAACTTTACCTCAGTATAGACAAGGAAGTAGTGAGAAGTAGGAAAGTGATTTTACTTCTGTATACAGCAGGGGCGGGCGAACTTTTTGGCCCAAGGGCCACATCGGGTTTCGGAAATTGTATGGAGGGCCGGTTAGGGGAGAGGGTCGTGGCCTGGACCCCACCTCCTATCTGCCCCCCCCCCAGGCCTCCTGCCCCATCCAATCCCCCCGTTCCCTGACGGCCCCCCCGGGACCCCTGCCCCATCCACACACCCCCTCCCTATCCCCTGACCATCCCAGGACCGCCCCCCCGCCACATCCAACCCCTCCTCTCATTCCTGACTGCCCCCGGAACCCCTGCCCCTGACTGCCCCTTGCCACCCCATCCAAACCCCCCTCCTTCCTGACTGCCCCCTGGGGATCCCTACCCCCATTCAACCCCCTATTCACCCCAACCCCTATCCATGTCCCTGACCACCACCCCAAACTCCCCTGCCCTCTATCCAACCCCTCCCGCCCTGCTCCCTGCCCCCTTACCACGCTGCCTGGAGCATCGGTGGCTGGCGGCACTACAGCCGCGCCGACATGCAGCACAGAGACGGTGTCAGGCCGGGCTCTGCAGCTGCGTTGCCCCAGGAGTCACAGCCCTACTGCCCAGAGCATTGCGCTGGCGGTGGAGCAAGTGAGCTGAGGCTGCGGGAGAGGAGGGACAGCAGGGGAGGGGCCGGGGCAAGCCTCCCGGGCAAGGAGCTCAGGGGCCAGGCAGGATGGGCCGTAGTTTGCCCACCCCGGTATACAGCATAAGTGAGACACACTGTGTACATGTCCAGTGTTCACATTTAAAAAAGAAGGTAACAAAATTGAAGAAGATTCTGAAAAGAGCTGCAAAAATGATTTGGGGGCTAGAGACTTAAATAACCCAATCAGGTAAGAATATCAAAAAGATGATTGAGAAGTGAGTTGATTACAGTGTGTAAGTATCTTCCTGGAGAGAAAATACCAGGTACCAAATCAAGAGGAGAAAGACATAACACGAACCAATGGCTGGAAGCTGAAGCCAGGCAGATTCAAATGAGAAATTAGACACATATTTTTAATAGTGTGTGTGATTAACCACTGGAACTAACTACCAAGGGAAGTGGTGTATCCTCCATCTCTTGATGTCTTCAGACCAAGACAGGATGCCCTTTTGGAAGATATTCTTTAGTCAAACACAACTTAAGCTTTAGTCAGACAAGTTACTGGGCTCAGGATAAGGGTAACTGGGTGAAAGTTAATGGCTCATATACTGGAGGTCAGACAACATGACCGTATGGTCCCTTCTGGCTCTAAACTCTATGAATCTATGAAGCTGAGAGACATTACAGAACTATGGGAAATTCTGTGGTCTGTGTTGTACAGATGGTCAGACTCACTAGATGATCTAATGGTCACTTCTGTCTTTAATATCTTTGAATCTATCAAAGGGGGGGGAGGGGAATTTCAGTTTGTTTGTACAGTGCATTTGATAGCACTTTGTTTTATGGTCAGTTTCAGGACTTTCCTTGTTTAGTCAGTTTTCCTAGTTGTATGGGTTTTTCCTACAGCAACAGGAGAGGATACAATCTGTTTTTAAAAATAAGAAATGTGAGTGGAAAAATACATCCAGGGATAGAAGGACTCAAATGCAGGTATGGCACTACCTTTTTTTTGTAGATTGCAAATTAATTGTGTTCTTTGGATAAAATTAATCCAAACATAAGGGATTCTTAACACTGCATTAAAATTAATCTAAAAGAGTGAGACTTGCCAGGTCTGCATCACTGACTATGTGCCTCTCTTCAAAAACTCCTGGCTTCAGCCGGCTGCTCAGCATAGCTTTGTACAATGTTCTAACAGTTCCATCCCTGCCTTCGTTGGCCAGGGGAGCAGTGACTGAGCTAGTAAAAGCAGTCTTTGATAGGAAAGTGCTGCTAATGCTAGTGCAGAAAAGATTTTAACTTTTAATCTTTTTTTAAAAAACCTACCTTGTTTAGTACTGTGACAGCTTAACCTGGAGTCTGTCTGCACAGTGAATTTGTCCTTCTCCGTTATTTTTTTGCAATTTGTGTTGTTGCTGTAGATAGCAAATGGCATTTGCCTGGCTTCTGTTTCCTGTTTCACGTGCACCAGCACGATGAGATCATCAGGCTCGTGCTCTGCTCTGGAAGCCACGTGCATGCTTTTTCCTTTACATCCCTTAAAGGGGGCAATGTTTGATATAGTAGAACTGCTGCTGGATTTGCTTTGAGATGCCAGTGTAAAGGCGATGGCAGGAAGACAGCTCAGACAGGCCTCTTGCCATCTCTAAACTTCTGTGATTCTTGGTGAGGTTAGACTGGGATTATATATAGGAATAGTCTGGCTAAAACATGTTTTTTTAAAAAGCCAAATGTTCTTCCTTATGTGAAAGAGAGCAACTCAGATTACAAAATCAGAAACAATCCTTGCAGTCTAATTTACTTTTCACTCCTTACACTGATTGTTCAGTCTTTGTGTTTCACTCAGCCAGGACAGTGAAAATAAACTAGTCAGTTTCATTTTCAGGTTCTCATGCCCTAGCACAATGTCTGGGGTGCCCATGTTTTGTTGGTTTTTTGAGACTGAAATTCTTAGAATTCCATGGCCCTTCATACTAACTGATAACACATATTTCCCACACTGGTGTTCTAATTGGTTTTTAGTTCTGCATTTGAAAGTAAAGAACAAAATGAAACAAAAATAATTAGTGTGATCCAATTTATAGTTGATATGTTCCTGTAGGGAAAACCCATCAACTATTAGTTATCAGTTATGTGGAAGAAATTCAAGATGTTAGATAAAAACAAAGATAGAATTTGGTAACTGAAAACCATATTATTTTGAGATTGTTTTGCTATGTGAATATTGGCTTCTAGGAAGTAAAACCCTAAAGCTCCAATCCTGCACTCGCTACAACAGAACTACTCACAGGGTGAAAACCTGGCCCCATCAAAGTTATTCGGGTTTTTTGCCATTGACTTCGGGGGGAGGGGGGGCAGGATTTCAACCACAGTGCATCAAATTAAGCATGTGGATAAATCTTTACAAGATCAGGGCCTGAATCTTCAATGGCTGGTACAGGCTTTAATCACACTGTCATTGACTGTAATAGGAGTTATCCATCTAAATTCTATCAAACTCTGAAAGTGAAGTGGAAAGTGTAACCTAAATTAATGCATATGAAATATCTCGTTGTTTAATGATATTGTATTTATTTTTGTTGCTATTACTGTGTTCTTGTGTATTATAAGATATCTATATTCATAAAACTCAAACTCATCAGCACCAAATTCAATAAAATATAGTATCATTTTCTTAAGAATCTGACCACCTGTCATACAGATATGAGATGAAACTTCTAGAATGGACCTAACATTAAAAAAAGATTTTGGAAAAACTCTTACAAACTGGGGTAAACTAACCTTAAATTTAAAAATGTAAATAAAAGCAATCCAGATGGGAAATGGATTTACACCTTGTACCTATTTTTAACAATAGTGAAGTTTTTTTTTTCCCTTCACTCACTAGTAGAGCCTCTGTGAAATAAAGTTAACTCAGCCTAGATCAGGGTTTCCCAGCCTTTCTGTAACAGCCCCTTTCGAAAAGATTTACTGGGACCATTCCCTCCCCTTGCAAACAGATACTGTATCTGTCCCTCAAGCAAGTTTTTAGTATGTTTCCCTCTCACAGATCCTCTCTGTCTGTCTCCTCCACAAGGTCACCATTGTCTCTCCCACCTATGTGTTTCCCTCCTGATGGATTTCCTCTGCCCCAACACCAATTTTCCCTCAAATCCCCTCATCTGATCCTCTCTGTCCTCCCTCACCTCTCTCCCAGCACTGCCTTTACACTTTGAGACTGGGAAGAGGGTGGTGTCAGGAATCAGGGTCTGCAGCAGAGCCAGTCTCCAGGCAACCTAATGGGCACAGCTGGCCTGCAGTAGGCTGCCTGATTGGCTACACCACCCGACTGGAGGGAAGAGTCAGCAGATCAGCTTTTCAGCCCAGCAGCAAGCTAGCAGCTGCTCATAGCATTTACCCCTGTCTGTGATAGTGCCTGTGTTGTGACACAGCCCTGCTCCTGCCTTGCTTCACTCCAGGTAACCTTGCTCTGACTCTTGATTTCTTACTTCAGTTCTGTCTCTGGGCTCCTATTCCTAGCTGCTGACTCCTGCTCTACCCACAAGGCCCAGCTGCCCACATCCTAGTTACTAACAGGCAGCAAGCCTCCTCTCTTCCTTCCCCCGTCAGTCCAGGCATGTGGTGGAGTGGAAGCTTCCATTTACCAATCCCCTTGTGTACAACCAGTAGGGTGAAAGTTGGACTCTTGTCTCTTGTTCCCCCTGCTGGCTGAATTTGGTGCTGCCTCCTTGTGTGATCAGCAACCCCCCAGAGGAGAATGGGGGAAAAAAATGTTGAATAGGGACAGGGAGAGGGGCTATAGTGGGACCGGGGGCCCCAGCAGCCGGGCCACTGGGGGGTGGCACCCTGTGGTTGGGCTCAGGGGTCTGTGCGATGGGAAGAGACTGGAAGGAGTGGTGGTGCTGCTGCACATCAGGGCTCTCGAGGTTATGACCTGCCTTTTTCTACCTCTCCTCACACATGCGCAGGGCCCTGAGGCTCCCTGGTGATATGCTTTGGGAGTCTCAACTGACAGCCTGTGAATCAGTGGCCTACATTATAAACTGAGTTGCTGAGTACAAAAGCACAAGTCTCTTGTTCTAGAATCCTTCTGACACTCAGTATTTAATTTAGCAAACAGCCTTTTAAAGGGGGTCTTGCTTGTCGTCCTCTGAAGTGACAACTATAAATCCCAAAGCTTTTAAAAGTAAGGCTGGTAATCGCACAATGTCCTAAACTTAGATCTGCCCGAATCTCTTAGGTTATGAGGCCATCTAGTGATCAGCTGGTTTAGTACAATTAAAGTGTACTCTGATGTGAAAGCTTCTTACAGAGCTAGGACTTTCATTTAAACATGGATGATCCTTTTGGGTATTTTGGCAGAATGTGGCATGTCCTTACTGCAGCTCACCTCCGTCTCCTGTGCCTGCAGTGAAGCACAAAATGAGCAATTTATGATTGAGGCACTTCACCGCAGATGTACCTGTACAGACAGATTTCAACTTGCAGGTCTGCTACTAGATGTGGCAAGTGAAGAACTATAGTAAAAATTAAAAGAACCAACATTCACATTAAAGCAAGATGTTTAGCCACACACGAGATATGATCTAAAAATTCCTAAAAGCATCCTTATAAGGAATAATACATTCCGACATGATACTATTCATTTTACAGCTGAAATGAAACTGCGTCATTTTGCATCCACACTGCTGAAGAGGCTGCCTGACAATGCAGAAAGAAATTTGATAAGGAGGTCTTGCCCATTTGCTCAAACAACAAGAATAAAATGAAAAGAATCAGACAACTTCTCAGGTACAATCATCCTAATCTTCTGACATGAGGCTGCTAAGTTTCTATTTGAACCTTGGTGAAACGTTTTAACATCTAACACGCTTCAATAACACGCAGGGCCGGCTCCAGGGTTTTTGCCGCCCCAGGCAGCAAAAAGGAAAAAAAAAAGAAAAAAAGCCAGGATCGCAATCTGCGGCACTTCAGCGGCAGCTCTACCGCCGCCGCTTCAGTCTTCAGTGGCAATTCAGCGGCTGGTCCTTCGATCCGAGAGGGAGTGAGGGACCCGCCACCGAAGAGCTGGACGTGCCGCCCCTCTCCGTTGGCTGCCCCAAGCACCTGCTTGCTGGGCTGGTGCCAGGAGCCGGCCCTAATAACACGTTGTGGGAATTCAAAAATTCTTCCACAGTCACTATCATCTCTGTGATTGGTTGATTGAGGAAAAAGAGGATTGATGACACAGCTTCACAATACTGTCCGGAACTCCCAGAAAGATTGTGTCTCTACATTTATTAATTTAGGCTTCTGGTGTGATATAAATAAAACATCTAACACTCTAGCACATAATTTTTAAAAAATATATAAAAATCATAAGCTAACCGATTGATGATCTCCAATAAAACTTCCCTACCGCATAAACACCATCCCCCATTAAATTTGTCCCACTCCAAAAGATCAAGTAAACTGATTAGACTTTCAGGGCATTAGACTGAAAGGCATTAGTCCTGGGTTATTTGGGACCAAGGTGAGGAGCAGGTTTCAAAACTGATAGGCCCTCATTATCAGTCCCTTCTCACTTAAACTGAGAGACTTCATCTTGAGCGTCTCTGCTTATCACAGCTGTCACTGTATTTGTATTCAACTAATGTAATTATGCTGAAATTTGCACTAAGGATGAGGAGGACTTTGATCAAAACATAGCATAAACTTTGTACATCAAGGGATGGTATCAAGAGACACTAAACTTACAAAAGCAATTGAAGGAGGTTTCAGAGGGATTTGTTGGATTATTGGCTGATGAGGAAATCTAGCTCAAGCTAATTAACAACAAAGAAATGGAACCACCACAAGGACGGAATAGTTCATTCCCTCTCTTCTAGCATTTAAAACTGGAGATCCAGTTTTGTATCTGAAATCTATGTTTGCAAAGAAGGTTATCACAGTTTATTGCATCACAATAGTAAAACAATATGGGAGTAAAATCACAGGGGGCAGGAGAGTTGAATTCAGAATGTTGCCAATTTTTAACAGACTTGCACTCTCATCCAGCCAGCTCTGAATCAGTCAATTGTGTTTTTAGCATATTAGGATCAGTTCAAACTTCAGTTCAAACTTCATAGTAGGTTAGATGCTAAAAAAGCAGTAAATTTGAAAAACTGTACTGGTAGCTAAACACAAAATATCAGGCACCTCCCTAACTAGTTGGTGACAAGAATGCACTGCGCAGGCATATCAGATTTCATTAATCCTCAGCACAGTATTACTATAAGTACTACTGCAGTAGCACAAATCATCCTAACAGCAATTTCAGCTAAATCACATCATGCAAATATTACTGCATTTGTCTGAAACAAACAAATGCAATGAGCGCCAACCGGTACTGATTTTTATGAATTTGTCATACATGGAAAAAGCCAACAGAAACTCTGGCAAGATCATTATAGTGTAAGGGATGACAATGGTAAATCACAGATAGAACAGTAA